ACGGAACGGTGGCCATCCTGTCCATGTGGTCCCGTGCCGGCCTGTAAACGCTCAACAGCCACGACTGGAGTGGGCGCGGTCTCCACCTGGCGTGCCGAAGCATTTACGTACAGGCTGCCATGTGCCCCGGGACTTTCAGGCACCATCTCACCATGGTCAGGGGGGCAGTCTGAAACTCCCCCTCGTGGTGTCCAGTCGTGCCCCCACGAACTCGATGACCTGCATGGGGGTTAGGGTCGACTTTGCCTCGTTCACCCAGAGTCCTAACTGGTCTAAAGTCTGTCTGGTCAAAAGTATGGACCGCTGAACCTGCTCCCTCCACCGCCCCCTGAGAAGCCAGTCGTCCAGGTAAGGGTAGAGACATGGATCCCTTCCTTCCTTTGCATGGCTGCCACTACCGCCATGCATTAGGGGCTGTGGAGAGGCCCTGACAAAGAGCCAAGATAGGGGTGGATACAGTGCAAAGAGCCGAAAGAAATTGAGCAAAAAAAAAAAAAAATGCTGCCCCTTTAAGAGTCATGTGTGGTCCAAGCAGGCTTCCGATGTCCACAACGTCAGATCTCGCTGCCCCAAGCGGCGCCCTGACCAGACAAGGAGAAAAAGTCAGCGCAGGGCAACACAGAACAGCTGTGGGTGCGGGAGCTGTAATTTGTCCTTTGAAGAGCCGCCGGCTCGCGAGCCGCGGGTTGGTCACCCCGATCTAGGTGTCGCTAGAACGGTTGGGCTTGCTCCAGTTGCAATATGGGGTTCAGAACAGGGGGGATCCATCCGAGCCAGAAAAATCTGCTCATTGAACAGGTTGGTGCGTCCCGTGAAAGGCTTCGTCTAAACTACACACGTTTTCCGAAAGATATTTTCGAAAAAGCCTCTTTTGAAAGAGAGCGTCTAGACTACAAGCAGTGTTTTCGAACAGCAAGCCGCTTTTTCGAAAGAGAGCACCCAATGTTCTCTTTCAAAAAAGCAGTTTACGTTGCATAGCGCCTTTTTTTTGAAAGAGCACTTTCGAAACAAGGCGTTCTTCCTCGTAAAACGAGGTGTTCCGCAGTTGAAAACATGGCTGCATTCTTTCGAAAGAATGCGGCAGCAGTCTAGACGCAGGGGAAGTTTTTTCGAAAAAAGGCCACCCTCCTGTAGTCTAGACACACCGTTCCCTGTTCTCTAACGAGTGTTCTCCAGAGGTGTTGCTCATGTCCATGCCACATGCACTGGTGCCAGAAAATCTCCCCTAAACGCTCAGCTGCAATCGCATTCTAGGAGATCGCACACCACCCTGTCCATGAAGTTGTCGTGTGGTTCAATTTTTAGACCCAAGGGAAGCCAGGACATTCCAGCAAGATTTAGCCACGTCCTTTTGTATTGCACGCGTTAAGCCGTTCACACACTGGTTTACGTCTGACCAGCCTTACAAACCACAACTAGACAATGGAAAATATTGGAGGGTTAAAATGCAAAGCAATTCATACAACGCCCAGCCTTGCAAGAGCAATGAATAGAAGAGCTTATAGTACAATAATGTAGCCTCGTTCACTTACACGTCACCCGTACGCCGCCTTTAGTACCAGGCAGGAGGCCACGGTCTCTTTGGTTCCCACCCGTCAGGACACCAGGGACTGAGTTGCCGGTGTGATGGGTCCGTACCGTCTCGTTATAGCAAAACCAGGACGTGTGGGTCCATTCTGCTCCCTCCCTCCCACTGATTGTCGTTTCTACCCCTCTGTACTCAACTTAGTCGGTCTAGCCATAGCGACCAATCAATGGCATATCACATAAGACAGTGTTTCTCAACCGGCAGTACGAGGACCCTTAGGTCGAGAGAAGACTGGGGGCACTGAAATTTGGAAAAACTGAATTTTTGTTTTAACTTCTACTGCGCTTTACTATTTTTGTACTTTTTACACTCAAAAATGTCATCACCCGCCCAGCGACCTGTGAGGAAAACTCCGCGCACCCTGCCTCTGGGATGGGCAGCCCCGAACTGTCCGGCTGTCGACCTTTTATGCCTTCTCAGGTGGGAGACCCCTGCCGAGACCCCTGCTAGGGAGACCCTGCAGCGTCCACTCCTGCTAAGGAGACCCTGTGCGATGTACTTCTGAGGTAAATCCAGTTTAAACCAGAACTTGTTTACTTGTTTTCTGCCAAAGGCGGGAAAATCAGGATCTGACAGACCCAGGGCGTGTGGCTCGTCTTCCATTTTGTTTTACAAAATCGATGCCAGTTCCTCCATTTTGATTGGAACAGGGATACCCTGTCATATCCAACGTGACAAACCAGACATACATTGAACTACCCTTACAGCTGGTGGGGAAGGCTGGAGATTGAGGGATTCATGGTGGGAGTTTCTCCAGAGAAGTGGGAATGCTGGGAGGGGTGTGTGTGCCACATTGGGAGTGTGGCCTAGTGGTTAGCGCTGAGGGGTGGGGAAACAGGAGTCAGGACTCATGGCTGTGAACAAGTGCCAGATGTTTCCCTCCCCTCTCTCTGTATCAATTTCTCTGACCGTGGAGAGACGAGCCATCTGACTCCAGAGACAGTGCTGAGGCGGGGTGGCTAGTTGTGGGGCATTTAGCAGCTCAGGGACATGCAAGTCCTTGAGAGGAAACATTTTTTTTTAGTGCCATTCCTGTCTTTTCCCGGAAAGGCAGGGTTGGGACAGAGGGTGTGGTCGGCTTTGAGGACCAAGCGTGAGTTGGTGAATTTCGTTTCCCTGTGGCCGTCAAGGAACCAGTCCCATTCCGGGCACATCCTGTGATCCTGGCACAACACAGAGTAAATATCCAAATGACCGGCCCAGACAGAGGAGGGGACATCAAGATCCTTTCTGGGTGCGGCCGGCTTTTCTTGGGATTTTACGGAGAATTAGAGTGAAAAAGCAAAATCGCTCTGCCAACTTCTCAAAAAGATCAGAAACGGACGTGGGAACCAGTGCAGAGGGATGCAGTGGTAGCGCTTACAGATGCTTTGATGGCATTTCCTGACCCCCCAGAAACCCTTCCATCCAGTTTGGGCAGGGCCGAGCCAGTACTACTAGGAACCATTTGGCGTGTACCCAGCCTCGCTGGAGCAGAGAGGTATCTCCTCCTCCCTACCCTCTGCCTCAGCCCGGCCGGGCGAATCGCTCGGCTCTCCCTGCTGAGATCCTCTCTCCTCGCTGGCTGGGCTGGGATCCTCTCCGGCCTGGGCTGGCGCCAGGCAGATGGTCAGGGGAGCCGCGTTGGTGCCCCCGGCGTTGAGACCAGGACAGAAGAAAGGGCGCAGCGTCCCGGAGAAGGTGTCGGTGAAGGTGAAGAGTCGGGACCTGTCAGTCACATTGTAAAACGAGACCTCGCCCGCCTCGTAGTCCAGGAAAACCCCCACCCGGCTGGGCCTGGCGCTCACAGAGAGGAGGGTCGGGGGAGAGGTGCGGGCCTTGTATTCCTCATCCCTCAGCCACACGACCCAGTATCCGTTCTCAGGTGAGTATGCGATCTCCTCCTTCCTGCTCGCAGATTCCCGGCAAACCCCCAGGTCCCAGGCAGGCTTGTCCCCCACCCCCACCTCCCAGTAATGCCTCCCGCCCACGAACCCCTCGGCGCCCAGCACACAGACACAAGGGTCAAATCTCTCGGGGGTGTCGGGCAGATCCTGGCGCGTGTCTCCGTGTCTCACGCTTTTCCCATCCTCAGACAGGACGAGTTTGGGATGAGCCGTGTCTGGATCCAGCGTCACGTCCACTGGGGAGAGAGTCACAGAGTCAGGGCCGGGGGCAGGGGCGGATCTCTGGGGTCAGCGGGAAATTAACCTGCCCCCCCTCCACGGGGGCAACGAGGAGGGGGATACGGCCAGTCACCACGACTCTCTGGGCCCGGATCTTGGCCCACAGACCTGGCTGCCCGTGTGGGGGTCACACAAGGAGCTGCATTAGGGGAGCTCTCCCAGGCCCCTCCGGCCTGGCTCAGAGCTATTCTGAGACCTCTGTGTTGCTGGTGGCACACGGGGAGCGAACAGAGACCCTGACAGCTGGCACCTCCGTGGCCCTGCCGGGGGTCGGGGCTGCTAATACCAGGCTCTGCTGGGCATTACTGGGCGGTGGGAGGAATCAAACCTGGGACCCTCGGGAGTTTAGTGCAGGAGCCTCCACAGCCTGGAGAACCGACTGCCCTTCCCCTTCCCTGTCCGGGGTCTCCCGCCCCCACTGGCGTTTGTGTAACTGCCCTGGGTGGCTACAATCCCAGGGGCTGGACAGTACCTGCGCAGAGCTGGGCGCATCTCCACCCTGCAACCGAACAGAGAGAGGGGTGAGTCGCCCAGTGGGAGACAGAGTCACTCAGGGGCTGTGCGGGGCGGGGGGCAGAGGGAGGGAACTTACCGATGCGGGGCGAGGGGAAAGAGGAAGGTAACTTACTGTGCACCTCCTTGAGTTTGCCTGGAAACCAAACAGAGAAAGGAGTCCCGTTATCCAGCAGAAAGGAAGCGAATCCCGAAGACCCTCCCGCAGGGACGTGCCAGTCCTGAGATTGAGCCTGGACGGGGCTGCGTGATCAGCCAGACCCCAGCACCTCCCGGGCAGCGCAGGACTGGGCACGGGATGAAAATCAGGACCCACCCAGCCACCAGGCCAGGGCTAAGGGGATCCCTCCGCAACCGGACAGTGTTAACCCCGTGAAGCCAGGAGAAAGGAGCACAAAGTAACAGAAGAACATCCAGACGGGGTCAGACCCAAGTGTCCTCGCTGCCCACAGTGGCCAGGGCCAGGTGCCCCAGAGAGAGAGAACAGAACAGGGAATGATCAAGTGACCTCTCTCCTGCCGTCCATCTCCACCCTCTGCCCGACGCTGGGGACACCTTTCCTTACGCAGCCTGGCTAATAGCCATTAATGAACCTAACCTCCGTGAATGTATCTAGTTCTCTTTTAAACCCTGTTACAATCCTAGCCTTCGCTACCTCCTCCGGCGAGGAGTTCCACAGATTGACTGCACTGTGTGAAGAAAAACTTTTATTTATTTAAAACCTGCTGCCCATTCATTTCAATGAGTGGCCCCGAATTCTTATATTGTGGGAACAAGTCAATCACTTTTCCTTATTCACTTTCCCCACACCGCTCATGATTTATAGACCTCTGTCCTATCCCCCTTAGTTTCCTCTTTTCCAAGCTGAAAAGTCCCCGTCCCTTTAATCTCTCCTCATATGGGACCCGTTCTAAACCCCTCCGCATTTTAGTTGCCCTTCTCTGAACCTTTTCTAATCCCAAAATATCTTTTTGGAGAGGAGGAGGCCACATCTGTACGCAGTACTCCAGATGTGTGCGACCCATGGATTCAGCTAAGGGTAATAAGATATTCTCCGTCTTATTCTCGCTCCCTTTTTTTAATGATTCCCAACATCCTGTCTGATTTTTTGCCTGCCGCTGCGCACTGCCTGGACATCTTCAGAGAACTAGCCACCATGACTCCAAGATCTTTCCTGATTAGTTATAGCTAAGTTAGCCCCCATCCTATTGTATGTCTAGTTGGGGATAATTTTTCCTCTTTGACATTTACAGTCACACAGGGGCTGTACGGGGCAGGGAGAAGGAGAGAGGGAACTTACCGTTCTCCTCCTGGAGTTCGTCTGGAAACCAAACAGAGAAACAAGTCCCGTTATCCGGCAGAAAGGAAGCGAGTCCCGAAGACCCTCCCGCAGGGAAGTCCCAGTCCTGACATTGAGTCTGGACGGGTAATGATCAAGCGACCTCTCTCCTGCCATCCATCTCCTCCCTCTAACCAAAGCTGGCGACACCATTCCTTACACATCCTGGCCAATAGCTATTGATGGACCTAACCTCTGTGAATGTATTTAGTTCTCTTTTAAACCCTGTTACAGTCCTAGCCTTCCCAACCTCCTCCGGCGAGGAGTTCCACAGGTTGACGGTGCGCTGTGTGAAGAAGAATTTCCTTTTCTTTCTTTTAAACTTGCCGCCCGTTTATTTCATTGGCTTACCCCTAGTTCTTCTATTATGAGAACAAGTCAAGAACTTTTCCTTATTCACTTTCTCCGCACCACTCATGATTTTATAGACCTCTGTCCTATCCCCCCTCAGCCTCCTCTTTTCCAAGCTGAAAAGTCCCATCTCTTTATTCTCTCTTCACCCGTTCCAAATTCCTCAGCATGTTTGTGGCGCGTCTCTGAACCTTTTCTCATGCCAAAATACATTTGGGGATATTTTTTCCTATGTGCCATTTACAATCCATGAGGAGTGGGGTGATTCTTTTCCACCCTGCAACCAAACGCAGAGAGAGGGGTGGGTCGCCAGGAGTGGGAGACAGAGTCACACAGGGGCTGTGCGGGGCAGGGGGGAGAAGGGAGGGAACTTACCGAGCTCCGCCTCCACTTCGTCTGCAAACCAAACAGAGAAAGGAGTCCTGTTATCCTGCAGGAAGGAAGCGAGTCCCGAAGACCCTCCCGCAGGGACGTCCCATCCTTAGATTGAGCCTGGATGGGGCTGCGTGATCAGCCAGACCCAGCACCTCCCGGGCAGCGCAGGACTGGGCATGGGAAGAAAATCAGGACCCATCGAGCCACCGGGCCAGGGCTAAGGGGAACCCACGGCAACTGGCCAGTGTTAACCCCGTGAAGCCAGGAGCAAGGCCGTGGGGTGAGGTGCAGGATGGGAATTTGCAGGCGAATATGGAAGCTGAAGGGGGAATCACCAGGGTTAAAAATCAACCCCAGGGCATGGAAACCAGGAGATTCAGCTGAGAAAACCCTCGGGGGGCGATTTTCACAGCTGCCTTGGAGTTTGCATATTCAGTGCCCGGTAATTTGTGAATTCAGACCCCTGGGGCAGTTTTGAAATGGGGATGCCAGCGAGTACTGGACGACTCACTCCCCCACCTCGCTGCCGCTGTGTCAGAAAGGGGGGGAGAGGAGGAGCCAGCGCTGGGAGGGGGCTGGTTTCAAAGCTGTCTGCACCCCTGGCTCCTAATTTAAACTGCAGAGCAGCAGAGGGGGTAGCGCCTGGCCCCAGCATGAGCCAGGACTGAGCAAACCTTCCCGTATCGACGAATCGTTAAAACTGAAGGGTGAAACCACTTGGCATGACTCAGTTCAGACTTAACATTTTCAGCTCCCTCTTCCCCCTCAGCCCGGCTCCCGCTGCCTGCAGCTCCTCCGGACACTCATCCCGATAGCTCAACTTTGGGATTTGTTTTTAAATCGCTTTCACCAGCCCCCCCGCCACCATCCCCCCGCTCCCCGCCATTCCTCTCTCTACGTCACCTTTTGCTTCGTAGTGCCTAGCGAAGCAGTAACTGCCCAGAGGGATGAGACCAGCCAGGAGAGTCAGGGTCACCCCCATGGCCACTATCCACGGCTTGTCCCTCGAGAAAAACTGTTCTGCAAGAGAAAGTGTCATGCTGTGACTAAGCGTTTGCCTACACTGCAGGTTTTGCAGAAAAACTTCACTTAGTCCACACTGCAATTGCATTCTTTTCGGAAAAAAACAAAAGTCCTGAAGGGTTTTTCCAACGTTTATTATCTCCACATATATAGTATATAACTATGTATATGTGTAGGCTGCTGGTTCTACTTCTGGGGTGTGTCTAGACTACAGGGTTTTGTCAACAAAAGTCCACTTTTGTCGACAAAACTATACCGGCGTCGACACTGCCGCTGAGTTCTGTTGACATAACGTTGACAGAACTCGGCAGTTTTGTTGACATTGTAAATCTCATTCTATGAGGAATAATGCCTTTTGTCAACAGAGTTCTGTCAACAGAAGGCGTTATTGCATCTACACTGTCCTTTGTGTCTACACTGCTATGTCGACAAAGCGGCTTGCTTTGTCGACAGAACTGGATGTCGTCTAGATGCTCTATGTCGACATAAGTTTTGTCGACAGATTCTGTCGACAAAACTTATGTCAACGTAAGCATGTAGTCTAGACATACCCCTACTGTTGACAAAGAACGTCTAGACGACATCCAGTTCTGTCGACAAAGCAAGCCGCTTTGTCGACATAGCAGTGTGGACGCAAAGGACAGTGTAGATGCAATAACGCCTTCTATCGATAGAACTCTGTCGATAAAAGGCGTTATTCCTTGTAGAATGACGTTTACATACGTCAACAAAACTACTGAGTTAACTGTTGACATAACTCAAAGGCAGTGTAGACGCAGGTATAGTTTTGTCGACAAAAGTCCACTTTTGTCGACAAAACCCTGTAGTCTAGACACACCCTCAGTGTGGACGCTCTCTGTCGAAAAAGCAGATTACGCTTTGGCAGTGTGGACGCTCTCTTCCGAAGAAGTTTTTTCAGATCTCTTTCAGAAAAGCTTCTTCCAAAAGAAGCCTGCAATCTAGACATAGCCTCAGTGTTCACCAAGTTAGTTGTCAGATAACAATACATAAAACCAGGACCGTTTTTTTCCTAAAAATTGAAACATTCCTAGGTACATTTTTTGTTTCTGCTTACTATGAGCCTGAGCTTTCCCTGCTGGTATTTTCAGATGTCATCTAAGTAGCAAGTTCTCAAGAAGTTCTCTGCACCTTGAAGGCTCACACCCAGAAACAGGTCACACAACGGTCAATACTCAGCCAGCGTCTCCGGCATCTCCGGGCTCTGACCTGCTATGGAAACCGCCGATTCTCTCTCCTGGTTGAGACGGGGGTTCCGGACCCGGCAGGACACTTTCCGGCTGGACCGTTCCGTTAGAACGATGGCAATCTCTGTCCCAAACAGGCCCCCCGCCTCCTGGGAGCTGCTTTCCGAGGCTGATGGCAGGCGCTGCCCCTGTTGATCTCTCCACTCAGCCTGGGGCTTGGGGAACCATCCAGACGATCGACACACCAGCCGGATCCTTCTGTCCTGATGTCCCTCCACCGCGATGTCAGGAACAGAGCCCAGCCCTACAGATGAAATAAAAGAACTTGTGATAATCCCACAGTGCCCAGTGCTCACCCACGGCTTCATCATCCTTTCTGTGTGAGCAAAAGCCATTTCCTGTTCAGCTAAGGACTGACTGTGGGTCCGCGAGTGGGGCTCACCAAGTTAACCTGGGCAGGTGCTGGTGCCGTAGGGTTCTTAACACCAGGGCTGTTCTCTGCACACACGTGTTCCCGTTTGGTTCAAGTGGCTCGGATCACCCGGCCCAAACCGCTCTCGAATCAAGAAGGACCCAGCTCCGGCAAAATCCCAGAGCGCAAAAGTGCAGGGAAGGAATAGTTCGTGCACAGCAGGGCTGGGAGGGGTTGTCCGAGTGTGGTGGGGAAGGGATTGTGACAGGCAGATGAAACACAGATGGAGGGGGGAAAACCTGGGTTTGTTATGTGTGTTCAGCTGAAATGCAAAACAAACAACATGTGACAACTTAGAATTCATTGCCATCATGAATATGCAAAAGTTTCTGTGCCGACTCCAGTGCACAGCTCTGCTGTGTGCCTCAGTTTCCCATCTGTAAAATGGGGAGAATGAGGTAAAGTTCTTGCTCCACACAGGGACTGCAGCAGCAGGGCAGGCGGACACACGCTGCGGGACATTGTACAAACAACAACACCTTCCTGTAATCATGTGATCTCGTGTCCATTCACCGACAAAACTGTAGAAACTGCCTGACCACCTTAACCCTGAGTTATCTCCTGCCCTGCCACACGGCTGAGTTCAGCAAAACTCAGACACCTCTGAAAACAAGAAAATTCATAGTGAAGGTTAACACCAAATAACCTTAACTCTGCCCCTTGGAATCGGGCAACGCCCCCTGGGAATTGGCAGCATGCGCTGCCGCTGCATTCACTGGGCTCGGCGTAGCTGTAATGACTAATGCAGGGAATATCAGAGTCTATTGGCCGAGCTGTTGCTGTGCTTTGTGGGAGAGGCAGGGGTACCCTGACGGATCAATCATGCCTCATTTCAGCTCTAAGCAGTGCAGGTTCTGTTCCTTCCCACGGGGACTGTCAGCAGCCTGGGGTTGGACATGACAGTGATCTCCAAGGCTGGGAGAGGGGTAAGTTCAACCCCAGGCATGCACAAAGTCACGGTAACAACCACAACGTGTAAATGTCACCTGACCGGTTAGAGGCTGTGTGTGTGTCGCACTCACCCCCGGCTCAAATGTCCTCAAATTTGGGCCACTAACCCCACCCCAGACTCTGGCGAGTCACAGCAGTTTTCAAGACAATCCAAGCACGAGTCGGGGTTTTCGAGAGTTTAGGAAACAGCGTTAATAACCTGCCACCTGCAGTTCCAATGAAGCTTCCTCATAAAAGACACCAGACTGGAACAAACACTTGTACTGCCCCTCGTCGGAGGGCCGGACATCGCGTATTCTCAGGGAAACTTTCCTGTCGGTGATGTTGTGTTTCAAGAGCTCCGTTCTCCCTCGGTACTCCGGCATCTGCTCTCCGAACTGGTCCTGCCCGTCGCGGTACACATGCACAACTGCAGAGAACCGGGATCGGGACCATCTCACCTCCATGCTCTCGGCGCTCATCCGGGGGGAGAGGTGGCAGGACAGGACGGCCTCCCCACCCAGGGCGGCGGAGATGGGGCGCTCAGGTCCCGTCACTGTGAACTGTGCTGGGAAACGGACAAGGAGAAAACTTTCAGAGGTTAGTCTGTGTCGGCACAAACAACGGGGAGTCCTGCGGCACCTTGAAGCCCCTGAGCAGTTCACATCCAGCTTTTATACCCAAACGCTTTTGTTTTCTTGGGCTTCTGGGGTCTGGTCTAATGCAGTTCATGCAATTCTCCCTGGGCTGGTACTTCCCTGGAGCTGTGACCTGCCCCACCCCTCAGGGATTGTGAATGGCACATTGGAAAAAATAAAATATGGCAGATTGGGAAAAAGAATCCCAACTCGACATGCGATAGGATGGAGAGTAATTTGGCTACTGAAGAGAGATCTTGGAGTCACTGTGGATAGATCTGTGCAAACACCCACTCCATGTGCAGCAGCCGTCAAAAAAGCAGACAACGTTAGGAATCATTAAAAATGGGATGGAGAATAAGACAGAGAATCTCTTATTGCCTCTGTATGGGAACCTACACGGGATGCCCACATCTTCGATACTACATACAGATGTGGTTGCCTCATCTCCAAAAATATCTTTTGGCGCTGGAAAAGGTCCAGAAAAGGGCTACAAGCTCACAGAGCGGTTTGAAACAGGCTCCAGAGGAAGGGAGATTAAAAAGTCTGAGCCTTTTCAGCTTAGAAAAGAGGAGACAAAGGGGGGGTAGGAGAGAGGGCTATACAATTATGAAAAAAGTGAATAAGGAAAAGTTATTGATTTGTGCTCGTAATATTAGAACTAGGGGTCACCCAAGGAAAGGAACAGGCAGCAGGTTTAAAACAAACCAAAGGAAGTTTTTCTTCACCCAGCACACTGACAACCTGTGGAACTCCTCGCCGGAGGACGTGACGACCAGGACTTTAGGGTTCAAAAATGACCTAGATACATTCATGGAGGTTTGGCCCATCAATGGCTGAGTCAGGATGGGTAGGGATAGTGGCCCTAGCCTGTTTGTCAGAGGCTGGGAATGGGGGACGGGGGTAGGAATTACGTGAGGATTCCCTGTTCTGTTCCCTCCCTCTGGGGCACCCGGTGTGGGCCACTCTTGGCAGACAGGACCCTTCCGGGCTGCTCTGATGTTCGTAAATTCTGAAGAGGATGGGGGAGCCCTCCCCCATGACACAGGTTGCTATCTGAACCCCCAAAAGGTACCTATAAACGTGCATAGGGACCACTGATGGGGAGGGACAGCCTAGGAAAGACTCCGTCTGGAACAGTATTTAGGGGGAGAAATATTAGTTACATAATTAACGAGGCTCTGTTTTTGTGGAAGAGGCTTTTGCACATTTGCTTCAGGAAGAACGGCTCTTGCAGAAGAAGGAGTTTTTGCGCCGAAAGGAGTTTCATTAATTATGCAAATGAGACCCAACGATATTCCACGTTTTGCCTCATTTGCATATTTTCTGTGCAAAATGGAGGCAGGGTCGACATAGCCTCGGTGCGCAGCGGCAGTTACAAAAGCAAACAGGATGTTAGGAATCATTTAACAAGGGACGAGAATAAGGCGGAGAAGATCCTATTGCCCTTAAATAAAACCCTGGGACGCCCACAGCTTGAATCCTGCAGAAACACTGGTCGCCTCGTCCCAAAAAAGTTCTTAAACGGGCAACGAAAATGCGGAGGGGTTTGGAACGGGTCCCATAGGAAGAGGGATTAAAAAGACGGGGACTTTTCAGCTTAGAAAAGAGGAGGCCGGAGCACCTACCTGGGGCCAGCCTGGGAGCCCACAGCAGGAGGCAGAGCGTGAGGTACCCGGGCAGCGTGGAGCCAGGGGGGGATGTGGGATCCTTCCCCGTCATCGTCGCTGGGTCTGGGGGAACAGGAGCAACAACAAACCAGCGGGCGAGTGAGGGGGAGGCAGCGACAGCCCCTCGGCCGCTTGAATCTCCCGGCCCGGCCCATGGCTCAGTGATACGACCACTAGCGCACTGCCCGGTACCCACAGACCCAGAGCAGAGGGGCCCCGGTTCCCCGCTCTGGCAAAGAGACGGCCGGCGCAGCAGGGGTGCAGGTGGGACACTCCCAGATGGGCTTCCGGCAGCTCCCAAGGCTCCCTCACGCCCGCCCGCGCGGGCGG